AAAAAAACAGTTGTTGGGTACACTTCTATCAGGTCAGTAATGGCTAAAGCTAAATCTAATTTGTTTAAAAGAGTTAGGATTTAGGATTAGGATTTGTCTTCTCATTTTATATCTGTTTTATTTCTGGATGATCTCTATGAGCGATAGTCTACTTGCTATACAAAAAAATGGGTGTAATTTCGAGAGTGACGATGGTTTAAACTAGCTGACCTTTAGATTTCTAGAGTGGCCAAGGTTTAAACTAGCTGACCTTTATATTTCTAGAGTGACCAAGGTTTAAACTAGCTGACCTTTACATTTCTAGAGTGGCCAAGGTTTAAACTAGCTGACCTTTAGATTTCTAGAGTGGCCAAGGTTTAAACTAGCTCACCTTTAGATTTCTAGAGTGGCCAAAGTTTAAACTAGCTGACATTTAGATTTCTAGAGTGGCCAAGGTTTAAACTAGCTGACATTTAGATTTCTAGAGTGGCCAATGTTTAACTTAGCAGGCCACAGCTATAGGACTTTGATGTTGACTTCTGTGGTGCATTAAAATCGTGTTATGGTTGTTGTTTCATCAACCTGTCCTACACATATCGTCCAAAATCATTGTGTACACATATCGTCCAAACACCAGCTCACCTGAATAATGACCTGACTGATCACGTGATCGTTACTATCTATTTATACATCTGGTTCTCTGTATTCTAGTTATTGAACATAGTTATCTTCAATTAATTTTTATTCTTAATATAATAATTAATTATAAATCAATTTTTAATGCTTAATATGATAGCTAATTAGATCGACAATGAGATGTTCTTAATTGGAAATGAACTTTTATGGAAAGAAATAGCTGCACAAGAAGTGGTTTAAATTATCTTACAAGATTAGCCACAAACCGACATACAGACAGACATAGAGAGATAAGTAAGTCAAGCTTATAAAAAAGTTGCAAATATCGGGAAGTGACGCAAGTTTTAAAACGACACGAAGCAGACGTGGCTTGTGACTGTTGATACCAACTTTCTCACTTCAAACTAGCCACACAAAGGGTGAGTGTTGATACCAACTTTCTCACTTCACAGTGACCACACAAAGGGTGATGGTGTTCAAAATTCCAATTTGGTTGGGTATGCCCAGATGGTACAATCAACTTAGCCACAACCTTGGCGTCAAAGCACGCAACTAACAACACACCATCAACTTACACAGGATGGATGTACTTTACGTTTGTCGTATAATGTGTACAGTTGTATAGGACGACCAGGCTATTGCAATATAGAGAGTAACGGGTGGGGGGGGGCATATCAGTCGGACACGTGACCACCGGTGACGTAGGTCATGTGACACGCTCACGCCAGACGACATGCCCCCCCCCCCCCCATGACGCCACGGATGACACAACAAAGTAGTTCCAGCGTTTTGTCACAACACACATCACCCCCCTCCCCCACCCCACACACCGATCATGTAACTGCCCGGGCGCACGCAATCTTTTAATTGCAGTCTCGACTATTGATTTTTTTTTCTTTTCATTATTTCAAGGTCTGGGCGGCGTGTGGAGGGGGGGGGGAGCTAGTCTAAACAACTAGACGCGACCCTCCCTCCCCATCAACTATTAAAGAGCATCCTCCCCCACCCCTCCGCCACCACACAAGGACGGCAGACGCGACCTTGAGAGCAGACGATGACGTCACGGACCACAACAGCCGTCTGCTAACGCTGGCGTGGAGCACAGTTGGCTTAGCCGTACCGTGACGTGTCCTATAGGTTGGTAGGCCGATAGAATTTAACATTCAACTTTTGTCAACATAGCTCAATGTATTCAACACTAGACTTAAGGTACGAAATATGAAGTCTAATGTTAGTGTAAAGGGTTGTAGGACGATATTTTAACAGTGAACTCTAGATATGAAATATCGTTGGGCGACCTTGGTTTAAAAAAGAAAATTTTTTTGTCTGGCACAAATTTATATCTGGGTAGCCATAATGTGACAGTCCAGATATTTTAAACTGTACAAAATAAATACAAGTTCAGCTAGTACACATGCATTAAACGATTTTTAAGAAAGGAGTTTGATTGGTAAAGAAACTTCCGTAATTAGCATAATTAACTTACCTTATAGTTAAGTCGCAATAATTTATTTTTTTTTTTGGGGGGGGGGTGTCGATAATGATAACTCTAAAATAGAGTTACACTACCACCTTGATGTTGATACATATTTGTTTTGCAGAAGGAAAAAAAAGTTAAATTGTAGTTGACAAATTATGCTCAACACAACGACCGCACTAGCGAAAGACAAACGGTGGAGTGTTGTAGTTGTTGACTCCAGGGTCGGTGAATGGGGCTGATTAACGGGACGGGAGTCACGTGACCAGCATCAGCTGTTGCCCAGTGGGTCAGGGGTGTCGGACAAAGACGAGAGCGACGAATGACGACAGTTGCCACGGTCCGGTGACGTCAGGGTGTCCACGGTCCGGTGACGTCATGCTTGCTTTCATTAGCCTTGTGGCGTCAAAGATATTTCTATGGTTCCAGTTGAGTCAGGCTAGCTGTTACAGTTCCAGGGCGTCGGAATGGGTCGGCCTTGACGGTTCTCAGATATGTATGTTAGTAGTGGTCTGAGTATAGCTATCATACTATACCGTCTCTACCTTTCGTGTAGTCTAATACTGTGATTCTGACTGGAGGGGATGAAGGTTTGGGTTTTAATGTCAAGATGGTGGTTACGGTATAGTGTTGTGTACAGTGGCGTAGGCAGGGGGGTGCAAATCAAAAGTCTGAGGGGGGGGTGCAAAAAGTTTGTCCCCGGGTAAAAATTGGAACCCCCCCCCCCTTGAGACGATCCTGGCTACGCCACTGGTTGTGTACCAGAGGTCAGAGTTTGTGTGGTGGTACGACTACTGCACTGACCGTTACTTTTTATATACAAGTTTCCATTTTTAACTTTTTATACCTGAAACATTTTGACCCTAACTTAGTCTAATCTGCTTGCTTGAATTATTATTAGGATTTTGGAGATGGCAAGTTGCCAAACTTAAGAGCATTTCGTCTGCAATTTTTATCATAAATTTCACAGAACCCTCGACTGGTATTTGTATTGTAGAATTACTTTTATCATTAATCTAATGCTAAGAACTTTTCCCCACTAAATTATAAACGTGTTTAAAAATGAGAAACTAATTAATTTCTTTTGATAAATAAAAAGCGCATAATTTGTCTTCATTTAAAAAAAATAATTCTTTTGTTTTAGAAGCGCTTAATTTATTCCGTGAAGATGTAGACTCCAAGGTCGTACACCATCACAGCTGGCCAACACCGCGAGACTGTCCAGTCACGTGATATCAGTCCAGCCAACCAGTCAGCGCGCCGTGCCTGCCGCAACGATCGGTCTGCGGCCAGCGCCGCGCCCTCGCCGCCCGGCAGACTGGCCAGCGCGAGCCAACAATGGCGGGGACGGTGGCGGAATCTGTCGCAGTACTGGCCTCATTCGCGCGCGGGTAGTACGACTAAAAAAAAACAATCACAAGCACCTACCAACTGTCCGGTGGATCGCGCGGGAAGCGGCGAGACCGACCGGCCATTGATTAGGGAAACCGTCAGCTCGCTCTAACGCCGCGCCATAAAACCCAAACTCAGTGCGGTCAGCTAGCTCGCGCTCTTTCCACGGCAACAAAAGAATTGACCACTGAGCCGACTAGTAAGCTACATAAGCCCCGCCTTAAACGCTTCCATGTTGGATGGGAGGCAGGGTCGGCTGACCGACGCGGGGAAATCAAGACCCCTCGCTCTAGGGCTCGGTGGGTGATACTAGGAGCAGCGAGGCGGAAGATGCGCAGTCTCTTGTCGCCGAGTCAACACATGAATAATTAATTAGTTCAAACAATGGAGGGGACTTGTGTGTATGTAAAAATATGTGTGTTAAAATATGTGTGGGCACATGGGGTCGAACCTTCACGTGTGGGCTATAATATGTAATTGTTATAACACGCGAACTGTTATATGAGCATATGTGTGTACACATATAGTTCAACAACGGCTGGGGCTAGTCAGAAGTACGCATGATTGTGACATAAAAATGATTGGTAGCACAGTGATTGGGGGCTAATTGGTAGCACAATTAATGGAGACTAGTTGGTAGCGCAGTGAGTGGGGGCTTGTTGGTGGTACAATGATTAGTGGCTAGTTGGTAGCACAGCAATTGTGGGCTTATTGTTATTACAATGATTGTGGGCTAGTTGGTAGCACAGTGATTGTGGGCTAGTTGGTAGCACAGTGATTGAGACCATACAACGCCAAAATTTGATGTCAGTTTTGTCTCAAGTACTCAGCGTCGTCCTGTCCGTTTTATTTTTAATGTCCGTGATGTTGAGAGAAAGCGATAGCTTCTATAACAGGCTGAAATTGTTTGACACGGAGCAAAATAACTGATCAATAATAATTTACGGTGGTGGTCAAATACAAATTTCTCTCGTGTTAAAGTTTGGGTTAGAAGCAGACGTGTAAAACTTATCTGAACAAGCATTAAATATAGTTTCAATACTTTCGAAGAATCTTTGAAATGTTTCTCAAAGATTTTCCATTTAATAATTTAAATTGCTAAAAATGTCTTAGTCACACGTTCAGTCTTTATTTTTGAAAAAAATATTTTTAAAATTACTTTTAATAAATAATTTAAATAGGACCTTATTAGTAATAATAAATAAATTATCGCTGAACTTGATACATATGTTGAGGGTGTATGTGTTGGCTAAAAGGTTGTTCAGTGTGCTTTTTTTAAACTCAGAAATATTTAGGCCAGCTTTTAAATGTACTTTCTTTTTCTTTTTTTGTTTTCATATTTGAATTATAAGAAAAAAGGAAAGAATAATTTTTTGTTAATATGTAAAAGAAAACATCTAAAATTGTAAATAAAAAATAATTTAAAAAAAATGTGTGTAGTGTGAGAGGGACTGGGGTGGAGAGTAAGATTCTTTACAAACAAATTATTTTTTAAATAGTCACGTGATAAACTCACCTGTTTCTTCCAGCAGACGACCCAACCTTCGGGTGAGGTTTGGTTTAAAAAATATCCTCATATTTTCTGTCGAAACGAAACAAAAATAAAAAATAAATACAAATCCAGAATAATGAATGAGTGTATCATCACATTAAATAATCCTAGAGTAGCACACAGGTAGCACTAGAGTAGCACACAGGTAGCACTCGAGTAGGTAGCACGAGAGAACATATCCCGGCGTGACAGATAGAAACATATCCCACAATGCCTGTGTCACGTGGCCTACTGAATGGCACGAGTGACGGTGTCAGACTTGTCTATATCCTCTCAAACATTCCGAGGGATGGCGAGCAGAGTAGGGAGGGGGGTGGGGAAGGAGGAGGAGGGTGGGGGGGGGGGAGAGGGAGGAGGGAGGTCTCGGAGACACGCTCACTTCCTCCTCCCACCCCTCCGTCTACACCTTCCCTCTCTCACAATTTAAAAAACCGTTAGATGCAACTTGAGGAAGCAGAGGAGAGGGTTTAAAAAAATGCGACGGCGCGTGAGGGTGGGGGAGGTGGTGTAGGGGAGGGAGGGGGGAGGTGGCGGAGGGGAGAGAGGGGGGTAGGGGGGAGAGAGGGAGGGAGAGGAAGAAAAAAAATCAACAAAACCATTTGAGTTGTATTGTTAGAATCGATAGGATTACTCAAATATGTTGAGCCGTCGTCGTCAGTAGACAACCATTGCCAGATTTAGGGGGTGGGGATTGGGGGTCGGGACTAATGCTACCGCTGGTAGGGATTGATGCTAGTGGTATCCCTGGGAGGGTAGTAGCACGCCCTGACTCCATTTTAATTCTGCCGCTAGTCTAAGTCACGTGACGTAATCTTTAGGGAGCTCTAGGGGTAACTCAGCTCAAGGGGGAGTAACTCAGACACAGTAACCGTAATCCATAAATACGCCAACATATATAAAAATAAATAAATACATTATAATATTATATAGGCCTATTATATATATATATATATATATATATATATATATATATATATATATATATATATATATATATATATATATATATATATATATATATATATATATATATATATATATATATATATATATATATTCTATTTACACAAAATGAGACCCATACATTTACTGTTAGACTGCTGATAATATACTGAGTACACTAGGTCCACAGGATTCAGCACTAGTTGTTGGCTGAAGTGGGAGAACCCTCAGGACTCGAGGTCTAGAACTTGGCTAATTTTATGGAGTGTGATGTAAAAATTTGGTGGACGTTTTTTCAAGGTTGGTGGTTTAAAATACTTTTAACTGCTCACTTCAGTGACAATTTACTATAGTTACTTCAGTAATAATACCACACATTAGTGCGGCCTAAGCTCATGTATATGTGCATGTATGTATGTGTGTGTGTCCCTGTATATCTGAGTGATATCGTGCTAACCTAAGGTAAGCTCTATATGTGGTCACATAAAGATGTGATTTAAATTGTTGAATGTGATAGCCTGTTGCTGTGACTTAACACCCCCCCCCCAGTACATGTACAACATTAACCCCCCCCCCTCCCCCACCCCGTCTTTAGCTGACCAATCAATACGGTCCCACAGAGCCGGATGCTCCCCCGGGCACCACAGGTAACGGTGAGGTGGGCGACGATTCTCTCGCACTTGTCGACTCTCCCCCACCCCCCGGGCCACCGCCTCGCTCCTCACCATCGATCTCTATCCACGCGTGGATCTCCGGGTCCACAGGTAGGGGTGGGGGATGACGGGGGGGGGGGGGGGGGGGCGGTAAACAAAAGTACCGAAACGACTATCAATCGATTGGGAATTGTTGGTTCTTTACTAACTAGAAAAAAAAATGTGATGGAAGAGTGGGGAGGTGGGGTGGAGGGGGGGGGGGATGGGGGTGGGGGGAGATGGGAGAGATATGGGGAACTAAAGGAACTGACAAGGCAAGTTGATGGAAAACTTGGTTAGGGTAGGGGGAGCTGGCGAGATACAAACAGTGGCTAGAGGCGGGGCTAGGGGGTGGGGGTCTTCTGTCTGCTGGCGATACAGGGGACATTTGGGTAGGGGGAAATACAGGGGACATTTGGGTAGGGGGGAATACAGGGGACATTTGGGTCGGGGGGGGGGGGCGGGAAATACAGGGGACATTTGGGTAGGGGGGATACAGGGGATATTTGGGTAGGGGTATATCAAGGGGAAGTTTGGGTAGAGGAATACAGGGCACACTTCGATAGGGGACATTAGATTTGGGATAAAAAGGGGACATTCAGACTGAGGTAATAAAGAGACATCTAGATAGGGGAAATATTGGGAATATTCTGAGGGAATATTCTGAGGGGGGAAAAGAAGGGGAAATTCCGATAAGGGAAACATAGGGGCCATTCAGATTGGGGAATATATAAGGTAAACAGTTAGAATAACAGAAAATCATCATCCAGAGACATTCAGATGGATAAAATTTCCGGCTTAAATAACATTAAAACTATATATATATATATATATATATATATATATATATATATATATATATATATATATATATATATATATATATATATATATATATATATATAGTTAGTAGGTGTATACTGTTTCAGCACAAACTGGGTTAGAGTTTGAATCAACAAGTTTCCACTTTCTCGCATGACTCGGACAGCTAAATTATGGCCGCTAAAATATCCCATAATTTTTTTTCAACTATCCCATAATTTCAGCGTAGCGAAACCACAAGACGTACACAATGTTTCATTTGTCAACCTGTTCCCCACCACAGGGGGGGGGGGGGGGGGCGTCACGTGACGAAAGGGAAGGTTGTCTGACCACAGGGCGTGGGCGGGGGGGGGGGGGTTGAGGGTGGGGTGGGTTGAGGGTGGGCTGGGGGTGGAATGGGTGGGCTGAGTGTGAGTTTAGCGTGGACCGGATGTGGGCTCGGTGTGGGCTGGGGTGGTTTGGATGTAGGCGGTGTGGATTATGTGTGGAATGGTGTTGGTTGAGTTTGGACTGGATGTAGTCTTGGTGTGGACTAGGTGTGGGTGGGTGTGGATAACAGTGGGCTGGGTGTGGGTGGGGTTGGAGTGGGCTGGGTGTGGGGATTAGGTGTCGGTGGGTGTGAATTGGAGTGGGCTGGGTGTGGATTAGAGTGGGCTAGGTGTGGGTGTTGGAGTGGGATTTGGTTCCACATTTATTACCGAAATGGTTACGGATTCAGGTCAAGGCCAGTGGTCAAACATTTCTGTTGTTGTTTTTTCTCTATAACCAACAGAAACTGGGTCACGCGAATTTGGATCAGGTTCTTGACAAGGTGAAACTATAATTAGGTGAAACTACAATTAGGTGAAACTATAATTAGGTGAAACTATAATTAGGTGAAACTAGAATTAGGTGAAACTAGAATTAGGTGAAGCTACAATTAGGTGAAACTGTAATTAGGTTAAGCGTACACTTGGACTGAAGGTCATATAAGTTGACTGGGGTATAAGCCAGTATAACAGTTTGGAGGAGGGGTGGGGGTGGTGAGAGTATAATATAGTAGTTATTGTCAGTATTTTTAATAAGAGAGAGATAATTAAATAGTTATGAATAGATAAAACCCTACACTAAATTAAGGAATAAAAAAAACTTTACTTGTAATGTGCTACATACAATACATATACATTAAGAAATATTTATTTCAAGAAAACCTACAAGTAATAAGCTACCCAGAAAACCTACAAGCAATATTACTACAATGACAACCTATTACAGACAGTGGTAACTAAATAAACCTACAACCTAACAAACCTCTATATGGTAGAACTAGTATGAAACCCGCCTCCTATTAACCACCCCAACCCCCACCCCACTCACTAGAGTATTAGAATTGGTTTTTTTGATCATCTATCATTAAAAAGGGAAGGGAAAGAACTCCCTCGAGAGCCTAAAGATAATGTATTTAACGTCCGATTGTTTCTGTAATTGCTTTCCCTGTCAGGAAAGTTCTAGTTGGTCTATAAACCCCACCACCATTCTCTGCTGCTCTGTGTCGCTAAGTTCTAAATCAATAACTTTCATTTAATTATTCTCTTTCTTATTATATGAAAATATGTGGTACAAACTATTCTAGAGTGGTGTTTTGTGGTTTGAAATAAAATTTTATTAAATAATTGAAATGTTTTTTTTTTTAAAAATCGAATCATAGGCTAGGTTAAACTATTTTAATTACGGGGATAGTGTTGAATGAATGTATGAGATTTTAGTACGGCGGTGGGGTATGTGATTATATGGGGGTGGGGGTATGTGATCATATGGGAGTGGGGGTATGCGATGGTATGGCGGTGGGGTATGTGTTGGTAAGGGGTTTACAGGTAGAATAAGGGCTTCAAATGTGAACAAACGCAACACCGACACAAACAAACACCACAGCTGTAGTGAGACAAACCATAAAAAAACTTTGAGCAACAAGCCATCCAGTCTGACATACGGCGGACTCACATACATAGCTATAACTTTACATATATGCATACATTCATATATTTTCTATTACATGAGCTTATAATACACACACGTATTAGTATACATTCATATATTTCCATTATATGAGCCTTTAATACAAACACCAATGTGTGAGTTTAACCTTACGTATAACCCCGACATATACTGGCTATAAATATCCCCAATAAGCCCGACCCCGTCCGCCCCCACTCCCCTGCTACTATAAAGCTTATAACCGGGTATTATAAAGCTTATAACCGGGTATTAGATAACCGGCTGAATCACCGGCCTCTGAGCCCATCTATAACTCGTGCCGGCTCCGTCAGACCGGCAGACACTAACGAGCGCATGAAAGCCGGTAATTCCCGGCCGCGCCTTGACTAAAAACCTAAAGGGATCTTTAGTAAATCTAGGGATGCATCAAGCGCCCTCCCCCCTCCCCACCGGCTGCACACCCGGGCGGTTTATCGGTGACCCAGACCCGTCACAAATGTCTGGAACAATCAGTTGGTACCAAACGCCCAACACGCACCCATAGAAATCTCCCCCCCCCCCCCACCGCCCCACCCCCCAGGAAGAAACGACCAGTGTTGCTTTCT